TCAGGGGATATTGCATAGACCCAACTAGAAGAGATCAAATAAAGGTGAGTTAGTTAGAACAGATGGTATCCGTTCAATCATCGTGAGGCCATTCGCAGAAATTTTAGCATGATAATCAAGTTATACAGAATGAGCCCAATACAACATCCTGCTGCGAGACAGGAAACCAGCCGTGGTCGCCAAACATAAGAGAGAACCCAATTCAGACATCAGCAACCACAAACCAGTAGGCCCAAGGTTGGTTCTTCGTAAGGTGTTGGGAGGAATCATCAGGGTTCACATTTGTAAGTATTTACTAAAGATATCATGCTTTGTTCTACCCAGCATGTGGTCTTGAAAAACAGGTAGCATCTCAGCAATCTCTGATGTTTTTAGATGAAGTAACTAGCAAATTAGATGAGATTAGAAGCATGAAGGCATGCTACCTTGATTACCGCAAGGTATTCGACCACGTAAATTACCGCTTTCTCGTGATCAAGCCGAAAGCCTTCGGTAAATAGGAGCAGACATACAACTAGATATCTTACGTTCTAAACGGAAAATTCTTCAACGTAAGAGTATTTATCTCCAGTTAGACCCCGAGGAAAGTCTCTAGTGGTGCACCGCAGAGGTCTGTATTGGCACATACTCCATTCCTGTTATTTAAAAGCAACCTTACGTTGGGGGCTCTAATTAATTAGATTTTTTACCAATAATCTGAAGCACGTCAGTTTGAAGAGGGAATAGGTTTTGGCCACTACCTTTGTTCTAAGCCGGGCACGAGTGAGATATATCTCTCAATGATGGGAAAAGCCATCTGCTTTCAAAGGCCTAGGAGGCTATTAAAGTGAAACACAAGGTAGGTTCTTTTATCATAGAAGCGGTGAAGGAAAAGATCTCGGAATTTTAATTACAGCTGATCTTAGGTTATCAGATTGATGCGCCACAACGGTACCAAAAGCTAGTGGGAGCTTTTTGGGTGCTACCTCACTTCTCTACAAGGTTTTAGAAATGCCTCATCTGGTACACTGGTCGGCCATGGTCACCGCTTTAAAAAAGGGTGCCACCGCCTAAAGCGTGTTCAACGGCTGGTCATAAAGATGGTTGAGGGACGATACGGTAAAGACTATAGGCTTCGGGAACTTTTGATCTCCTTTAGAAAACAGATAAGATATGATAGAACGACGGATTTCTATAGTCTTGATCCAGAAATCCTGCTTCAGGAGGGTTCAGACAAGAACCTAGATTTATTATTGGGTTTCACCATTTGAACGAGATAACAGACATCTGCACAAAATAACTGTAGAACTAATATAGCTGCAGATCATTTGGTTATTTGAGATTGCATTGGACGAATTTCATCTGAAATTGACCCCGGTGTTCCAAATATCCACTCAAGCAAGGAGGTGACGGACTACAATATACAGTGGAGGGTACCATTCAGGACTGCATAACTTTCAGTGGTTCATTTTATTGCTAAACATCGTCATTATTATCCTACGCCAAAAGGCAGTGAAGCGAACTTATCACAATTACTTGCATTTCTTAACCAGTTGCCCAGTCGGAAAATGAAGTCTCATAAAAAGGGTAAAACACGAATACACATAAGAATAGTAACCAATCCGATAGCAATAAAGAACAAAAGAAGATTAATACCTGGGAAGGTTCCACCGACCCATCAGAGAGGGTCTCTCCGAACTTGATCAGAGCTGGGACAAGGCCATCGGCCATGACCAGCAGTGTTTCCTAACCACACCCCTAGGTCAAGGTCAGGTCAGGTCTTGAAGTCTTGAAGTAGTACTCGGATTCGACGCTTGCGCCCAATATTCCCGGTTCCGGAGTTGTCTTCTTTTCGGCAGTTTGGTGAACGAGCTGAAAGGGATGTTGACGGGAATGGGAGCTGGCTCCGATATGATGCCGCGGGTTAAGGGTCTTGAAGTCTTGAAGTATTGAAGTGATTCACGGGTTTTCTTGAAGTCTTGAAGTGATTCACGGGTTCGAGGCTGTTGCCCAAATGTCCCGGGTCCTTGAAAGGTATCTGTGTTTTCTTTTGGTTTGAATTACCTCTAGAACAGAGAGTACTGAAAAGGGATTAGTAGGGTTCCCCGCTCGAGGCGAGAAATAAAATGAAGACTTACGAACTCTTATATAATTCAAATTTTTTTTCTTTTTATTGGGGAAGAGTAGATAAACCTAAGTGGCGGTCAAGACGAAG